TAGTTAAAAAGCGCATGCTATATCCTAAGTAATTTGGTCCGCTTATGTTTTTTGCCGTGATTTTGTAATGCTAAATAAGTATTGCTAATCGAGTTTTGTTTTTGCTAGAACAACTACAAGGTCTTTACGCCAGCTACTTTTCGAACTACATCCACTCTTGAGAAAAAAAATATTTGGGAGTGGGTTGTCTTTGAGATTATGTCTGTACATGCCATGACCTCATCAAGTGTGAGGGCCACGGGACGGCTTCGTGCACTCTCATGGTTGAGTACCTCATTCTATAAATTTTTAACTTCTTTTAAACACTAAGCACTACAAATTGTAACCACTTTTAGGGGCAAAGCTTATTAAGCCACGGTTCATGCGTTGGCAATGTATGTAGTAGTAGTAGGTAGCCACCTCTAGTTTAGTCCTTGAAATGACCGCTGGATAGCGGTACTTGTCTATGCTGAACAAAGTTACTGTATATGCTACCTTTAAGTAGCAGAGTTGCGCCAAGATACGCTATCTTGGGTTCAAATGTCTTGCGGGAAAGCCATTCGCACCCACGTAAGAGCAATGCTCGCTCTTCAAAATGCTAGGAAGTCCCTCAATATTGAGGGACTAAGGTACTAGCATGGCTTTATTTATTTCTTTGCTTTCTTGTTATTTTTTTATGTTACGAGTAAAACTATATTGCTCTGGTCCCACCTAGAAGCCTCGATTTGATGCTTACGATCTTGGTTTGTAATAATAAAAAAGTTATGAGTAAAACTTTGTTGCTCCGGTCCCACTCAGAAGCCTTGATTTGATGCTTACGATCTTGGTTTGTAATAATTAAACAAAGCCCGTTGGCTTGTTGAACCAGTGAGAGACATATTTATGGTTGGGTACACTAGCTCCGTTTTATTTTTCGCTGTTTTTCCCATTTAGAAAGATAAAATTAATTTTGCACTTTTGATCGCCATCGAACCAGTTAAGAATGAGATTTTTTTATTGTGTTGGACTCATTCATTGACTGTGTGAGGGAGCTAGGTGTAGCTTGATTGCCTTCAACTGAATCAAGCTGGATAACGATCGAGAGTAGTCGTGCGACGCCCATGTTACGCGCTGCTCTCTATTACGCTCGTACTAGAATAGCGGCTCACGACAGCTGATGTGAATCGTTGTTCAACAGCCCTGTGTCGCACCCGAAATTCCTTCAGCGTAAGTTTTCATAGCTGCATTGAATTAACGTAATTTACGTGCTAGCTGCAACACCTTGCCGATTCGAATAAGTCTAGTTTAAATTATTCTCCCTTTATTTGTAGTGCTATACCAGTCAGACCCATTGAAACGTATGCAACCGGCACACGCTGACCAACTCTGCATGTATATCGTAATCACTACATATGTGGGCAATACAAATTTAGCAAATTCGCAGTGCGACTGATAGATAAAGAGAAGCAGAACGTTTATTTCTTCCTCACTGAACACTAATCTTTCTCTAGCAACACCCACTGCACCCGCGTATAATCACATGGGCTGTAAGTTGTACAATTTACCACGGATAGCACTTTTTACTACATTTCTCTCGACCAACATCATTACAGTACTGAAGAAGTGCGGCGAGAATAACAACAGTCGATGCTAACCACTCTTGATCTTCCCGGTACCATCGTAGCATTGGCTTCTCCGCAGTGCAATTGAACCCCTGATTACCACGTGATGGCGTTCGGCGAATTGGGGCACTGAACTCCTGCAGGCGGAGCGAGCAGCGCCCGGAAAACAGTGGCGATACTCTGCTACCTAGAGGTAGCATATGCAGTAACTCTAATGCAGAAAATATGCGAAATGGCGGTACTTGGAGTGTTCACTAGATGAGCGGATAGACGGATGGATACACAGACGTACAGACAAACAAATGGACGCGCGTACAGACAGGCAGACAGACAAAGACACAAGAATGGAAGGATGTATTTATTGATTTATATGTTAGGTTTTAACGTCCCAAGCCACCATATGTTTATGAGAGACGCCGTAGTGGAGGGCTCCAAAAATTTCCACCACCCGGGCTACGTAACGTGAACTCAAATCTGAGCACACCGGCGTAAAACATTTTTGCCTTCATCGGGAATGCACCAGTGGCAGCCGGGATTCGATCCCGCGACCTGTGGGACACCTGCCGAGTACCTCAGCCAATATACCACCGAAGCGGGGCTGGACGGATGGACGGAAGGGGCCAGTGGATGATTCACGGTTTGCCGAGAAAACCCTTCGAAGCTTCACCCCTCTCATCATCACTCACTACATGGATATGGTTAGTTGGTTGGTTCCTCAACACCTTCGCGCAACCTACCAAGGGGGATAGGCCATGAATGGGGCGGTGCCTTGCTTTTTAAATTAATTCACTTCTTGAAAGAGAGGGGATATGCCGTGATTTCTCGTTCCACCGTCACATCCCTATACCCGCTATTCATTTCAGGCAAATTTTATGTTTTGTTTCTGGATAACCAAAAAAGTTGCAGTAAACATTTGAAATTCATTGAAATCATATGTCATTCCATTATTATTTTTTTCCTGAAACATATATCGCACTGAAAATTGTCATGCTAAATTTGTGTACATTTTTTGCGTCTGGTACCTAATCATCAGTCATATATAGCTATTAGGCGTCATGTTGAAGAAGAACACTTTCCCACACTACAATAATTTTGCCTCAGTTTATCTCCTGCTTAGTTATCAAAATACTGGCCCATACCTATAATTCTATGCACTGTGATTGCTGAGATAAAGAAACAAAATTAAAAAAAGCATGTTTTGAGGCAACCGCATTTAAAGATAAAAACAAATAATTTTGTGAAAAAAAAAACTGGCGCCTACATCTTCCCACGGGGGGAACTCCAGTAAATGCGTCACAGAGAGGTCGGGGTGTCGCGTGAATGTTGCGTTATTGGGAGTAGTTTTAGAATGCTTATTGTTAATTATGTTTTGGTAATCTTATTTATTGAATGAAGATGAAACGTTGCCTTCAACGTCAAGTGAAAGCCAAGTAAAGACGCCCTTGACTGAGTTCCAAACGCCTGGTCCAGGGCCTGCTCATATGAGGTGGCCACTTAACGGTTGTACAGCGCTAGCAGTCGTTTCGTTTTTTACTAGGAGACACTGTCTGCGTCCACATTGTGAGGATAGAGCGGTAGAAGAGAGGGACAGGTTTGCGGGAGTCTTCGTGGGTATGCACCAGACGTGAGCATGCACAATGGGGGTGTGGACGGCGTTACCGCCGACGCCGATGCCCGAGATCGTGCTAGTAATGAATGCTCGACGATTAAAATAAAACGAGGTAATGCCTAATTGATCCACCGCCCCATATGCACCAGCCAAATACTCATCACCAATATATATCTTTTTTTCTTCTTGTATTGAATTGTCTTGCCTCGCGAGAATTCTGTGGTGCCTGATGTGAAGCCTTCTCAGCGAAGTTCTGCCGAAGCAGGTCAATATTGCGTAGGCCCTTCACTGTGGCCTGAATAAATTCGAAAGTAGTTTATCAGAATCACGCAGGTTTTATTATAACCATCTTTAAAGGAAACACAGCGTCATGAGTGCACACTTTCAGTGTTTAATCGAAAATGCCACGACTCATTAGGGTTTTGATCTTTTCCATGGAGGCATTTATGAAGTAATTCCCGATGAACAAGTTCCAGATAATTTGGTTGACTTTGAATTTGGAGCCGATGCCGGAAGGTGTTCTTTATGCAAGAGCCGTTCATCATTCTATGGAGCTCTGTTGAATTGACTTCAAGTGTCGGCGTCTTTTCGGAAAAAGCATTGAGCTGTATTGGTATATTTTGGTGCCATTTGAATAAATGCAGCCCTGAGACCTCTTTCAATGTCTGCTAAGCAGGATTTATATACTTTAGCGGCCCAACAGCAATAATTTTGATGCTTGGTAATGATGGCACCACTAAGACGTCTTCGGCCAGATACAGATTAACCGACTGAAATCTTGATACTTCTGTTTCTTTATTTTTCGCAGTTCTTGGCCCATTTCTTTCTCAATGTGCTAAATGCACTTCAGCTTGCAAACTGCAACCTCAACTTGTGGGTTGAACTGCACGGAATCTCTTGCTACGCAGATATACGGCCATGGCATGTGGTCACACAAGTTTTGAAACTTCTTAGTTTGAGATAAAAAAAAGTCACACTGAGACAAACAAATGACCCAACTCTGGTTAAGACCGCAGATTTCATAGGATGCCAAAAGAAAAAGCTTACTTTAATTATTATTTTTGCTTACCTTATCTCCTTAAAGCGCGCACCTGTGAACTGCGGGTAGAGGGGTTAGAAACTCCCCTTGTGAAGCACATTATTCTCCTAGAATTTCTCTTTCTCTATCTTTTCTTCCCGGTATTTCTCACGGTTTTACTTTCATTCTCTTGGCTCGCCTCCCTGAAAATTGTTACTGCATTCTGCACTAAAGTTTGTCCTGCGCTGGAGAAATCGGCGCACATATACTTGGAGCGAGGCTTAAGATAAATAGTTCAAAGACCACGAAGAAGAAGACAGTGATTTCATGATTGCAATAGTTCTTATTTACAGCTCATGCATTAACGGCCTAAACAGTTCCATCCCGAAAATTGCAGAAGCCACACAACAAAAACATGATGGGAACCTCGTGCGGAACAAACTTTGGTTGTGTAGCAATGTTATCACGAAGCATTCCTTCATGTTGTAACAATAGCTAAGATCTCTTGCGTTACTTTGAATTAGATTGACATTAATTTTTGTGGCTGTTTTAATTAACTGATATATTCGGCACCCGTGCTGTACTTCATAAAGAGGAAGCATAACTGTGGCTCAGCACTACCCCACTGACCAGCTTGTTTTCTACTGTGTTCATTGATGTTCGATGTCAAAACTTGAGAAATTTTCTCGCTTCTTGCGAACAATTCGCCTTAGGCACACGTTGTAATAAGCGATTCTTGTAGAGCATTTCTACGATGACTTTGGTTTTAATGGCCCGTTTTGTTATCTCATAGACAGGGTGCAGGAGAATTTGTCGTCGTGCCTGACCTTGGACCTGATCGCCTGGAAATGGACCTCGAGATGGATAAAAATGGTAAAATTCAAGAGCATTTTTTATGCGTCATAGAAAGCACAGAAACGTATGTATAAACATTGAAAAACGCAGAGTTTCTTGCAACCACCGTGTAATAAGTGTTTAAGGTTGCTCAATGCCTGCTCGAAACCGCCATAGATGCTGGTTTTTTCACCGGATCAGTTTTCATAGATCTATCGAAATCATTCCACTCCATAAATAATGACATGGTTATTTTTAAAATGCGGGCAGTAGGTGTCGACGGGCCCATGCTGAAGCTTATAAATGGTTATTTAGGAGACAGACAGCAGGCTGTGTGTGTTGGTTCCTCGCTTTCTAACTTCCAAATAACGAACAAGGGTGTTCCACAGAGATCGATTCTTGGCCCACTACTATTGTTGCTTTACATAAAGGATTTTCCTAACCACCTATCGCAAACGGAAGCTTTCCTTTATGCAGATGACACGACATTTCTTGCTAGCGATTGATCACTAACTGCTCTTACATCAAAGTTGAATACTGATTTAAACAGTATTTTAGCATGGTGCTGCCTTAATACGCTGAAAATAAACCCTGCCAAGACTTTCTTTAATGCTTTTCTTACCAGTCACGAAAGACCAGGAACCCTTCCCACTGTCATTCTTAATTTTCATGTTATTAGTGCAATGGATGAATGTTCATTTTTGCTGTTACTTTAGGCTAAAACTGAGCATTTACGAAACACAACGCTCATCTGAAGAGAAAAATTGGTCCTGATATTACAATTTTTTAAAAGCAAGGAACTATTTCAGCAAACCTGCTCTACTAACCCTGTATTATTGTTTCAATGACAGTCACCCGAACTAAAACGTCGCGTCATGTGGTGCCACATAACCAGCCCATACAGCACTGCTACAACATTTACAAAATCAGGTCATCCGTAAACTAACCTTCAGATCATTCAGCTGCTGTTTATGCGACATTCTTTACACTAACAGAATCCTTTCACTAGACAACCTCTTTAAATAGAATTCAGGCATAGTGTTATTTGAATAAATGAGCAATCCTCCAGGAAACATATTTCCAAAAGCTGCTCCAGTAAACACTAACCGAACAAGATTCGCAGCTAACCACAATTAATATTGCCATTATTTCCCTATTGCAAAAACAGCTTGATTCCAGTACGTTTTTTGGCACTGGTACATGCTGGAGACTCTGGTACACGCTTGTAATCACTGTAACTTCGCTGGGCGCACTGGGAATAACCTGTGTCGCACTGGTAGGGGCGCTGGCTCAACCACTGTGATGCTTGTGCGCACTGCGAAGCACTGGAAGCGCTAGAGTTTTCACTGGCAAACGCTGATGAATACTGGAGCATGCACTGTTTCGACCAGCGCAGCTTCAGCGTGCATATTCTTGTAGCGTGTGTCGTGGTTTATTTCGGTGCCATTAAAAATAAAACGCTTGATTCAACAGCAGGGAGAGATGCTACCCTAACAGATACTGAGCATACGCAATTTTCGCGGCGCACTTACGTATCGCAACAACTATAATGCACCTTTTTTGAATATGCCCCCGCGTAAACGGGCCATATTCGCATCATCCGTGTATTGCTGTAACGTTTCCAAGTTGCAGTGTTTGTAAGCCTAGAGCTGCACGCCACCCCTAACAGAAACAGGAAATTGTTTTTGTCGCAATGTTGACGAAACGTAAATGAGCTCTCTCGATCGCTTCGCAAGGTTTCCAAGCGGAGGCGAGAAAAAAAGCTGCCGTTCGATTCCGCCATACCGCATAAATGTATGTCTGGGCATGCTTATCCTTTTATTTAGTTCAAGTAAGAGTTAGAAATGTTGCGAAGCTCAAACGCAGAATCTTCAACCATCCCGACTCACCGCGTCGAGAGCATTCTTACCCAGTTCCCGGCCCAGAGTGCATTAAACCTGTCTTGCCAGCCGCGTTGGTATGTTACCGGTGCTCCTTGCTTTGTGTACATACAAACTTAAGAGTGTGAGAATAACTGTATAGTATAGTTTAGGCATCCATGAACCTAAATAAACTATTTTGTCTTGTGGCGATGTTCGCACAAGGAGCGATGACAATCGAACGTCGCATTTTGAGCGACGCAGGCTGTCACCAAAAGCTGCCGGCCGCACTTTGCCGGTACTACTCCGACTGATATGTAACAACACGATATTTTCAATTGGTAATTTGGTACGCCTTCGTGAACTGATTCCTTATCATACGTCTTCAGGGGATTGGTTTGGTATTTCTATAGGCGTTTTTTTTTAGTTCATGGTATTGATATAACTGCATATATCTGTACACTGGCACGCCTGCTGTAAACTGCCAGCACAGGCCAGAAAAACAGCTGTCACTCGGCATCGCCACTACGTAAATGCATTTCTGGCATTGATTGACCTTCCACTTACTTCAAGTACAGTTTAAATAACAGTTAGAAATACTGCGAAGCTCAAATGCAGAAACTTCAAGCACCGCAACTCAGCTGCTTCGAGGGTAGCCTTACCCTGTGCCCCGTCCCAGCGAGGCCTATCGTGCCGGCCGCGTGGGTGTGCACGCTGCCGGCTTTTTTTTACTTTAAGTAGGCACAATTCTAAAGTGTAAGTACAGTTCAGACATTTCTGAGCCTATATCAACCATTTATCCGCGTGTACGGTGCCCGCACAAGGAGCGGCGACGATTGATGTGTCGTGCTTTCAGCAACGTAGGCTGTCACCGAAAGCTTCCTCCTGAGCACACGAGCCGGTATTTCTCTGACTTGTATGTAAGAACACGCCATTTTGAGTTAATAATTTGGTACACGTTAGTGAACTAACATGCAGTCATACTTTTCCGGCGGATTGCATTAGTCATTTCCTCAGCGGTTTTTTAGTTTCAGGTATTGATATAAGTGCAATTATGTAATCTGGCACGCCAGATGTGTAATGCTACATTGGCTCTTACGCGAAAAAAAATACTCAATATTCACTCGTGGGCGTGGATATCTACCAAACAAGACATTTGATTCATGTGTACTTGTTGATCAGTAGCAAGTGCTAGAACCGACTATCAAAGGAAAAAACGAACTATCGGTAGCAAGAGCTGACAATCTGTGGCTGCTCCTCCATTCAATTTGAGATTTTTCAGAGTTAAAATGTAGATGCTTCAAAAAATTTTGTGCTCTTGCTAATATCCGCACGTCATTCCGTGCCCGGAAGCCGTTCGTGACTGTCGAATCAAGACGCAATTGTTATTTGGAAAGGAATATCGGGTTAATCTTGACTTTGTGAGTTCTGAACATGAATGGTGCGTTCTTCGGATAGATAGCTATTTTACAATGCCACCTGCATATTTGGAGTGGCGTTCATTAAAGAAAAAAAATTGGCGTGGCGTGTTGGGTAGCGTGGTCAATTTGAGATCAGGAGGTAGCAAGTTCAATACCGTCATGTGGTATTGTACTTTTTTTTTCAATTTTTATTTTTTTATTTTTATTGTGAATGCGCGCTTTTTTACTTCTATATAATTTTATTTAGGGCGAATGAGCATCCCTGTTTTACCCTGTGAAGCCATTTTGCGCAGAGTACTCGGACACTGCCACCCTAGCGTCCCAGTACCTGCGCTAGGAGGCGTTGGTACCAGCGCCATACTGGGCCCATAATCAGTCATGGCATGGGACACTGGTACCCAGTGGCGCAGGTTTTTCCAATGGGGTTCATAGTAATTATGAAAAAAAAAAACTACGGTTACTTCACATTGTTATCGGCCTGGAACAGTCTTTCAACGTTAAGCAGTATTCATCATTAGCTCTTTTCAACAACACATTATTCACTATTCTGATACTTTAAAACTCTAAGATGTGTGATGTTATCTACAGGTTTTCCAATTCATGCTTAATTTTGCCACAGCTACTCGTCTTTTCTTTTACTTTTTAAATGCGCAGCATTTCTTAGCGAACTTCGGCGACTTTGAGCGTATCTATCTATCTATCTATCTATCTATCTATCTATCTATCTATCTATCTATCTATCTATCTATCTATCTATCTATCTATCTATCTATCTATCTAGCTATCTATCTAGCTATCTATCTAGTAACCCACGACTTTTAGCTCTCCTGGCCATTTCGATAATGGTATTGATATACCCCTTGGTGTGGCATAACATGACTGTATGAAAAACATATTTGACTAGTACTAACATGAAAATCATGACATGTATGTCATGAATATTATGATTTAAATTTCATGGTCGTGCAACTCTTGCGGTGGTTTTTATTCACATGACATGTTGCAAAACTGGTTAGTATGGCATGATTGCATGGCGAACACAAGTGACAAACCATAACATGAAAATTTTACATGCGTATTGTGTAACATCATGAATACATGCCACTCTCATGATGCGCTCACGTCCGTTCCTCAACCTTCACATATACTATATTTGGTTTTATAATAAGTGATTGGATGACGAAGGTGTGTGACTGGTGCAAACATAACCATGAGGTGCGTGTGATGTAACAGCATGACTACAAGCTACGCTCATGATGTGCTCGCGGCCCTTTCGCTACCTTAACATGTACCGAACTCAGTATTGCATGACGCGAAGAGACCTCATAGGTAAATGACACATCGAAACATGATAATCACGACATGTGTGTCATGTAACAACGTGACTACATGCAACACTGATGATGTGTCGCGGCCGTTTCGCTAGATTCACATATGTCAGATTTGGTATGAAGCGGCGCCAATGAATGATGAAGGTATTTGACTGGTGCAAACATGATAATCATGAGATGCGTGTCGTGTGAGAATATGACTACATGCCATAGTCAAGGCGCGAATACATTTCGACGTGACGCTGTGCGCGACTCGCCGGCGTTCCTTACGTCGCGTCACGGCGGCGTTGCCATGCCAGGCGCCGGTACTGCAATATACTCGCAGACGCGCGCCACGCTGCGTTGTTTTAACGCATACGCATTTCAGCGCGTCCAGCGTCCCTCCTTCACGAAAAGAGATACACGCAGTGTTGTCAGGGTAA